ATAACAAGTTTACCATCATTTTTACAAAATCAACTAACAATGTTGTAAAGATGCAGGAAATGTCAAACAAAAACTTTTACGTATCTTATTAGTTTAATAATGAGACTGTTAACATGCCTAAGAATTGAATCTGAGGAAATGTGAAAAATATGCTGAAAAGTGAAAAAACAGCATAACTTCTACAATAATGGCCCGATCATGCTGATTTTCGAACTTGACCTGCGTTTTATGAATATTCATCAGCTCTGTAAATATAAAGCCAAAAAGTAAAACTGCCCTCCACTTATCGTGTTTACAAGGAAAGTGCACGGCGCCGGCATCGGCATCGGCATCGCCATCGCCATCGCCATCGGCGACGACAGACGCAGGTGATGGCAATATGTACAGACACATCTGTGTCTGTACATAAAAACAAAGCAATTCCTGAATGTATAACCACTTTGTTATTTTATCTAACTCTTTATATTTATAGGGTGGAAAGAGGGTAAAAGGGGATCTCTGCCTCCTAATATCTCCTACTTACTGTCCACCACCACCACTGTCAAGCCACGCGTCCCCTTCTTATTCTCTCTGTTAATGACACTGAAGTCAAGAGGACATATTGACAGTGGTTATGAAAAATAATTTTTACAAAATGGTTTTCCAGTGTGCCAACCTTTGTAGAATATTGACACAATTATTAATAATAAGTATGATTCATATATAAATAATCTTTCAAAAATTCTTATTTCATCAAGTTCATTTATTCAGTTGCTATTTCATTATTAATATTATTATTCTATTGTGAACAATCCATCAAGAAAAAATTATTTAACTCAATTCTCCATATTAATGAAAAAAAAAAAAATTATGACCAAAGCTCACTCGAATCAAACGGGGTAAAAAATACTCACAAATTATCCTCGATACAGATCACTGGCTGCTCCCCGCTGTCTTCCTTCCCGTGGCCTGACCCGATGTAAAACGAGAACTTTCCAGCCTCGCAGGGGGTCCGTAAGTGGCACTTGGAGACCAACTTCAATTCTAGAACCAAGAGCACACATGCCTTGATTTTATATCTGCCTAGTGTGAGATGGTTTTTAATGCAAAATTTGGAATGTATGAGGGCATCAATTAGTTAAAAATATGTGAAAAACGATAGGTGGACTCAGAAAGTGACATCACCTCTGGCAATTGTTGTACTCTACGTCATAAGATACATGCTTTGGTTCTTACATGACATCAAGTAATAAACAATACACAGAAAAAATATATTAAAATTTTCTTTCACAAAAGGAATCACAATAAATTATTAAGCAATTCTAAACAACTTCACAGTTTTTTACATGTGTCGCAGTTTAATCAAAAAATGAAGTTAACATCAAATTAAGTGGCATGTTACAAGTATAAAAAATATATCGCATATAACTATATAAATGGCATAGAGGTACATGCATGGCTATTATTAAAACGTGTTGTAAACAAATGAAATATAAAGCATGCAATATTTAGTCTGTACGAATTTTGTAAAATAAAGTCAAATCATATGATGGTTGTGCATATGTCACAGGTCATGTCAAAGGTCATGCAGAGGACACAGGTCACATACAGGCTAGGTGATACAATCAAATTTAATATAGTGACAAAGCAAGGGCTTTCTCTCCTTAAAAACCAAAGGAAAAGACAGTTCCCACTTTTAAAATGGACTCCCTGACAACTCTGAGTTTCAGAGGTCACTGGAAAGGACAAGGGTCACTGGAAAGGGCAGAGGTCACTGGAAAGGACAAGGGTCACTGGAAAGGGCAGAGGTCACTGGAAAGGACAAGGGTCACTGGCAAGGGCAGAGGTCACTTGCAAGAGTAAAGGTTACTGGAAAGGGCAGAGGTCACTGGTAACATAGGTCAGTTTCCAGCAAACATTGAAACTGGGAACCCTGTACCACTTTTGAACTTATTTCTCTTATCTCAAACAAATGTACCCTTCCCTCCTTTTGTCAAATTCAATCTGTTGAAAATGCAGGACACAAAAGAGGAATATTAAAGAATTAGCATTTCTATATGTAATAGTTAGTACTAGTTACAGCACAATTCATCCATTTTATGCAATTTGTGTCGACACCTCGACTATTACGCTCTTGTTTATTGCATAAAGATGGCGATGGGTGCTTTTAACTATACTGACTTATTCCACTGCTGGTCTTTTGAACAATGTAGGATAACTCTACTTCTATTTCACTTGTAACTGACTGAAGAATATTGATATACATACATACATACACCTTGCAATCAAAATATAAGGGCTGTTATCCTACTGTTGGAAGAGCCTGCTGTGGGATAAGTGCATCTATTGTTAAAGCTTTAGTACAGAACTGGTGTTAGACATGGAATACAAGAGTCTTGTTGGCTCTTGGGAGACATGGAGTGTAAAGTGCATCTATTTAATATTACAATTTATAATAAATGAAGAAAGTCAAAAACAAACATTGTTTATTAAATGATATTTAAGGACATTAAACAATTAAGGTTAAACAAATATAATGAAAACAATGTCATTGCACTGCCAGCCAATTCTAGAAGTATTTTAAAACGCCAGCTGTAAAACAATATGTCTATATATGAAAAATATGGAATATAGTTATCAAACTGACAATTAAAAATATTGGATGTCTGATTTTATGTGATGATGGGAAAGGATAGGTGATATAAATTTCTGCACAAACAGCAGGGCTAAGTGCAAGAAGACACACATGTTAGTATCACAAAGCAGATGACAGTACAAAATGCTAAGCAGAAATGTTAAATAAGGTTTAAAAGTTTGGTGAAAATTGCTCAATTGCTTTGTGAAAATACAGATACTGAAGATAGTTTCTTAGAAATTAAATCACTGACAATATAACAGCTTGATGCCAAGTTGAAATCCTTAGAAACACATTCAATTGGCAAAATTCAATATGGCAGCCAATAAAAACATCTTAAATCAAATAAACACCACTGCTGCTCACCAACACCTGTATAATAATATAACAGAACTGTATCACATTTAAAGGCTTCCATTAGAAGTCATACGGAATAAGAATTCTTCGGCTGTGAGAGCATCATAATGGTACTATTATATATAAAAAATAGTTTTACATTAATTTAGTTTGCAACAGAGAAAAGAAGGATGCCCCTAAACAATATGCATACATGTAACTCCTTTACTATACAAAATCTATCTACTTGTTTATCAGAGGCACTCTTCATATTCCACGATATTATATGATCTGTATCAGGTCATTTTTATACTACACAGTGTATACTCCCTTTCACAATATCTCCACTGGTTAGCTCCCAGAACTTTAGCCAGTCTAAACTTGGGGTACTTTTATTTATTTATTTTTATTATTTTTTTTTAGAGGGGGGGGGGGAGGTAATACTATCATCAAAGAATTATCTTAGAAAATCAGACAAGGAAACATCTGTACAATTAACTTGAAACAGAAAGTTAAAGAAGAAAATTCATCACTAAAACAAGCAACAGCAAACTATTTCTAGACATCTTATCATCTACCACTAAATTGAACTCAGGCTATAAACTGTTAGAGCACCAGAGAAAACAATGACTGCCTTTAATTAGTTAATTATGTCAACTTTAACAAGACTTCTTTGTAACTGGTAAGCTATAGCTGCATTTCAATGCCAAATTTAAAAAATGTTTCCATGTATTATCCAAGATAAACAAGAACAATGTCTGGACCTTCATAAAACATGTGCGTGCATGTGTGCATGTGTATGTTTGTACATGCAGTGAGGGGTTAGAAGGTGAGGATGTTGATGAAGAATTCTTCGCCTGTTACTTAACGGCAAACAAACACGTCTCCCATTTTCTATTTCAAAATTTGTAATTGAAAATAAATCAATCTGAAGGGTTCCAATTTGGCACCAGGCTAAAATATATTATACTCTAAAAGGAAATATTTGTATTTTCACAGAAGCACCTCCAGCAAAGATACCATCATGCAGTCAAAGTATAAAACCATGGTGAGTATTATATCATATATCATTAACATAGGATACTACCTTTCTTAGGAGCATTATCATGGTGCTCCAGTTTGGCGGGTTCCTCTGGTGGTCTGGCCTTGGGGGCAGGGGTAGATTTGGGACCCTCTGAATGGGGGAGACAATACGCTTAACACACAGTACACAACCAAGAGAGCATTCAGAGCAAGTTCATCCATGGACTAACAGATCTGGAGATCAAATATGGCCGACCCATTTATAAGCAATGCAGACTAATCTCCTAATGGTGTCCCTGCCTCCACACATGCTGTTGCTCCAGGGGCCCAGCAATTGAAACTTGTGGCTAAGATTTAATTGGTTAAGATTTAATGGCCAATGTGGAGGTGGATAGACCAACAGTGGATTAGGTGGCTTGCTTTTAAGTGGGATCAGCCATATTTACTCCTTGGATCATCTGAATGCGACCTAAGTCATATATTTTAGTGACATGATGCTTTACAAACCATTAACAAATTGATGTTTTTTTTTTTGGTCAGCAAAAATATAATATATATTATTTTGAGCATTTTGTAAAAACAGATGTCAGCAACAGCCTATGGGTGAATAACTCATGATTATGTTTAATTTAGTTTATGAGGAGTAAAATTTTACAGGTTTTGTTTAATAAATTACAAATAAACACATCAGTACTTATGACAACAGACCTTTTCATTTTTTTAAAATAATGAACGCATAAAATCGTAAAAACACAATAGATTTCCAAAAACATTTGCTAAATACTATACATCTCATACTTTTTCATCAGCAATATTTAAATGCCAATGTTCATGCGAAAAAAAAGATACATAATAAAGGCATAAATTATGAAAAAAAATGTAAATACAAAAAAGTCAATACTAAATAAATTTAATTCCAATTCCTTTGATCTGTGTTGTGTAGTATAAATTCAGTCATGCAAAAATTAAATAATTTGTTAATAACAACTTGAGAAGGCATCCACTGAACACCACCTGTTACCCCACTACTAGAAACTACAACTGTGACCATCACTGTGACTATTACTCAATTAGTCATGAGGATCATTCTGACAAAAGGATCTTTCTGAGTCATGCTAAGACTGACCCTCACATTCTGCATTATATTGGCATAATTCTGATTTGCTGCATAAGATTTGTTTCTATTTTTAGTAAAACTAATATAAACTAAAAGCGTAACAATATGTTTATTCAAACTGTATATATATGCAACTGAAAAGAAAGATAAATTTAAGATAAGAAAAATAGAAGGCATGTTTACACATGAAGATAACCCATCCAGTTTTGGCAATACAGCTAAACCAACTTTTTTTGCTTGTGTTTCTTTTTCTTTTTTTGTGACATTTCAGAGTAGAACTGGTGTGGTTTTATCTTCATGTCAGCAGTTAGTAGTAGATCAATAACAGACAGCAGTGCTGGAAGAAATTAGAGGTTATTTGTATTAAAATGCAAAACCTGAGCTCATTTTGACATGTAATTCAGTATTTATACTAATTGTCATTTAAACAATTCATCTTTTTTATATCATTTCATTTCCTTTTTTTACGGTAAAACCACAGGCCAATGCTAAACATCACTGACCAAGTATGTCTTTATTTCTTTTAATGATATATAAATGTATGTTTTTATGCCCAACTTGATATGTTAATTATTTTAAAAAATTATTTCTGTATTGCCCCATGTTGTTATTTTACAAAATACATAAAATTTGCTGTTTTTATTAAAAAATTTCAAATAAATTCCATAAATTTGCCCCCAAATTAAACCGACTTTCAGCCCGTCCTCTGCTGATAGTTTGTTAAAATGAGCCCAGACAAAAAGAAGAGAACATGCTTGACAATAAAACGTGATATTTGCCTTTGGGTTTGTCTACTTTAAGGACAGCAGTGGGGACACTTTGTAAGGGGGCGGCCCCTGTTTTCAACACATGCACAGTGCCAGGAGTGGCGGAAGCATCTGAAATTAAAAGCAGCAAAAACTCATGAGATTTATTAGTTAGTGAAAAAGAAGCATCTGAAAAATAAGAAGCGTCTCAAATTCTGCTAGTGTTGCTGTTCTAAAGAACTGGACAAAATGGGACTTCTGGGAATTTTTTACTAAGCAAAATTCATTATTGATTAATTCACTTTTGTTTCCTTGGTCTTTTATTGAATTTACCAGCTGTATTCAAAATACAACCAGGAAAAGTCTCCTGAGAAAACAAGATTTGTGAAAAAGGTCAAACAGCTGCAAAATAATACTTTCTAATTTCCCATGTTTGAAACCTATTCAAATACCATTATGTGGACTTTGTTTTTCTAACATTTGTAACACAAAACTAATCAGACACTTGCCAAGAACTAAAAAACAAAAAACTACAAACTATTCAGTGNACGACAGACGCAGATGATGGCTATATGTACAGACACATCTGTGTCTGTACATAAAAATACATATAATGACCAATTAAGCCATCTTACCTTTCAGTAGCTTGGAGACGGGTCTGCTTGGCATCAAATAGCTGTCAATGAGGTAGATAGCCACTGAGAGCGCCACGATCCACATGATAAAATACTTCCATCCTGTATATAATATAATATAATATAATATAATATAATATAATATAATATAATATAATATAATGTGATACAAAATGATATGAAACGATATACTAAAATATAACGTCCATGCTTCAGTGTCTGTCAGACATCTTAGCATTTATTACAAATACCTGTATAGACTTTTTTTTAGTTGAACATAATACATTGGTCACAACCATTGAAAGACAGGTTATCAGGAAGTAACTTTGGACTTAGTGAACACTATATTTCTTACCATAATTGTAGCTTATTACGCTTATTTTTACAATTCAGTTCAACCACTTTAGGCTATCAATTGTGTTAGCACTGAAGTGTGTGTTTTTTTCTATTCAATTCAACCTACCCCCAAAGTTTCGTATTATCGCACGCCTGAGGGAAAACATGGCTGCTGGTTTTGTCTTCTTCACTTCATGATATGTTTACTGAAAGATAAGGACATATGAAGTTTAGGCACAAAAGAATTCCTAATCCTAATACCCCATTTTCTTATCTGCCTGAGTATACAAGGAAATATTTGAAATTTGAACAACTGCGCTATGAACCTTAAAGAACAAGGTCTGTGCAGATAAAGAATCTGCCTGAGTTAAAATAAAGCCTATGACGTATAATGGTAAATTTCCAGTAATTTGAACCAAAATGCTGACTTTCTAAAGTCTCGTACATAACATAACTGCCTGGTGAGCTGAAAAGTGCTACAAAGTACTAAAAAAATCTACAGGATGATCTGGATTTACGTCAGAAATAAATGCATCTTTGCCTTCCAAAAAAATTTAATAAATGTCAAAAATGTGCATATACATTAAACCAACTTCTTTCCAAAGCAGTGGAGGGCTACTTAGTTAAAAAGAAAGTAAAACTGATGAACCATCTGTCTAAATGATGGTAGTACTAGTAGTAACCAGGTGGGGCGACTCAAAAGGTTCATTGGTCCAAAAAATAGTAACATCTTCATCGTTTTTTTTAATCAAGGGTTAATTGGTCCAAAGGTTCCATAGAGAACATTCGGACCAATGAACCTTCGGACTAATGCTACCACCCCAAACAAATAGTGCCACTATGACAAACAGTACAGATTCAGATTCTTTATTGACAAGAGTTTTAAGAGCCACACTTTTAAATTACGACTCATCATTTGACATACATGTACTTCCCTAATAAAATTATATAAAACACAAAGCGTTTTTACCCTTCCATTTTAAACCTATCACATTCACAAACAAAGTAAGGTACCTAATCGTACTGGTAGTATCGTCTCAAACGAATAGGGTAATTTTCGGTCCGAAAAAAATCCATTTGGTCTGGCAAATTTTTCACTACTGTCAGTCCAAATGTCTGTCATAATTAAATAAATAGTTAAATATAAGCATATACATAGAGTAGTTCATCACTAATTTGCCAGGGTTGATCTATACACTGAGTCTCTGCTCACAGTGCATGGGGATAGCACATTTGACATTGTGCAACTGAATAAATCAGAAAGACTTGCTTATTTCTGGGTTGTCTGCTAAGTCGGTGGGTGGCTCTGCCTGGCAATATGGTGGAAGACCCGACAAACAAATAGCACCAATTTGTTAAGTTGTATCAATTGAATAACTATGATATTTATTACCTAGCATTATTTTGCTTTCATACCACCCTATTTCCTTGGGAATGACAATTTCCTGTGTTTATTTGCAACCGGATTACTTTTTGCTAGTGTATTGCCCTGTATTCCGCTGTATAACGCATTTTAGGTGGAACTTTTGGATTGATGCTATGGGTACAACTGCAATGGGAGATATAAACGTGTCGGGCAGCCAAAGGTAAATTGCACCTTTTTCGTCTTACATATATAATTTCTTGTTACACAATCACCTTTTCTCAAACTTTACATCACACATACTCACATTTTTGCTCAATAACATGGCACAGATTTAAATGAACAGCAAAAGCTCCCATCTTCTTCCTTCCTCTCAACGATATTGACACAAGACACGCAAGTAACGGAGATCAGAGTCGGGAATAAAATACAACTATATATATACAACATACCTTCATTCTTTCTCAGAAGAAAACGAATGCTAGGAAATTAACAAAAGATAAGGCGATTTCTATTCAAATTATTTTGAAATTCTATCAAATAAGCATATTTGTTGCACAAAGTGCAATTTGAAGGGCGTAATTTTATATTACCCTAAATTAACCAATCGCAACATCTCTAGGAAGTGGCCTCGGAGGTGTCTGCTCTTTTCCGAAACTTCCGGTTCTCGGTCACTGGCAATGTAGAGAAGGAATCGAAATGGCTGTGCATCAACAGAGTTTGGCGCACGAAGTGCACAACTTCGTGAAAAACGCCCACAGGCTCAGGGGTGTGCTGTCAGAGACGGAAAGTATGTTTAAAGACATCAATACGTGTGGGAACTTCGACCAAGGTAAGAACGGAAACTGTCAAAGTCCCGTGATAAAAAGACCAGGCAATGTTGACTGTGTTTGTGGTGACTCTTGTTTTGTTGACAGAAATCGGTTGTTGTTCCATGTCAGAAAAATTAGTGTTGAAGCCGTCTTATATTGAGAGCAAATCGGACTGGAGCATAGATTTGGATTTAAAAGACTGTGCAAGTCAAAGTAGATTTTTTTTCATGCGTCAGAGAGGGTCAAGTACAATATTTTATGATTCATCAAGCAGGAAATAGAAAAGTTTGACCCAGTTTTTTTTCACAATTTAAGAGAAAAAAAAAGAAAAGAAAGTAAACTAAAAGTGCAAGTTGCATCTGCCATGCATAAAACTTTTCAAAACAACTTGAAACAGGAAGTTTCATTTCATGCTTTCATTCTTGACAGTCAGTCTTGTTTTCATTGTCAAAATAATGAAAAATAAAGAAGGAAAAAATAAAAAAGAAAGCTGTCAGTTTTGCATAGCGGTGACTAATTTTATCCAGAATAAGAACTTGCAAATCATATTTGTCATACTGTGGGTTTTGGACTGTTTAAATAGAGGGTAACAAAGTGATTTATTTTGACTGCACAATAACACAGGAAAACAAAAAGTTGAAAGTAAGAAATTACACAGGTTAAGATAATAATAAAAAAAGACGAAATTTGTTGGATAGCAAGCCTAAGTATATAGTGTTGAGGTACTGTTTAAGCATATAATGTATTTATTATTATTATTATTATTATTATTATTATTATTATTATTATTGCTGCTGCTGATTTTGTTGGCATGAAAACACCCTGATAAGGAGAGCTGGGCTCAGCTGTGATTGTAATCACCTTCTTTCTATCCTGAAAATTCAACCAAAATTTATGACAAAATTTTAGGGATATTTTCTCCGCTAAGAAATAAACTCGGTCACGTTTGATGGAGGAAGTAAGAACATATTTCCATGTTATCCAGCAACAAACACTGATTAATGTTGTTAAGTATTTCCAAGTGATTCCCATATGAAAGACTTTTTAGGGATTTTTATAGTTCAATGAAGTTATATTTGTTTAGAACTGTACTCTTGGTATTCTCTTAGAACACTTTCCCCATGCGGAACTGGTTAGACAAGAAAAGATATTTGTAATTTGTTTTTGATAGGTAAATTTTTATCTGATATTTAGAAGATGATGATACCTGAGAAAAAAAATCTGTTCTATGTTTGCCTAGACTGTGTTTGCATTGACTTCTGTACACTCCAAATGTATATGTCCTTTGTTTATTTATGATATAAAAGTGGCACAGGGTAAGTTCCAATCATGGGTCACTTAGTCAGCCAGTCAACATGTGGCAGAGATATGTGACAAAGATAGTGATCACTACAACCTGGTGTAGGTGGACATCTCTGGGGGAGATTTATGTCTGTCTCTTTTCCATTGTGTTCCAATGAACTGTTTATTACCTTAATATTTTAGCTGTTTATTTATGGATTGATTTTATTCATGTCATTCTGTTAATTTACCCTTGTAAAGTCTAATGAGCATTGTAAATGGATTTTACACTGTAAATAAATATTATTATAATGATAATAATTATTATTATGATATTGAGGGGAAAATGACACCTCATCTAGCCCTACTCGCCGCCTCCCACCCAACTTAAAATTTTTGATAAGAAATTTAATGTGGGTACTGGTCAACAAAATTGTACCACAATTTAGATGCTATTTGTGTCATGGTAAAAGCATAAATAAATTATAGCAGAGAGTTTTTTATACAGAATTTAATAGATTTGTACTTGTATGTAAGTCAAGGTTGAAGTTATACAATGATATTCTGAAAGGTCTTTTAAAATGATTTTCTTATGTTTTTAGAACAAACCGTTGTTGCCGAGATCCTTGCTGAGGAACGCGGGGAATTGGAGCACGTTTTAAGTGACCCGCCATGTTTTATCATCCTTGGCCAAACTTGCTACGCAAAAGCTAGCGTAGTTAATGAAGTATTTAACCAAACAGTGCTGCCTCCTATTGACGATGAAGACTTTGACACAAAATGGCGGATGGCACGATTCAAATACGGTGAACAAAGAACTATCAGTCGATCGATACCAGGGAGTTACGAACTTGTAGATAATTTAACTGACAATTATCATTCATGGCGAACAATCCCCAGTCAGGATTTAGTACTGCGTGATTCTGAGGCCAGGGAACCGGTGGGAACTCTGCCTTGCTTAGAGGTGAACCTCAAACATAACGTGCTGAAGGATGACGTTCAGGTGATTTTATCCCCGACCAACTGTTCAGCCTCTCTCAGTGAAATGGTGGCCTTGTACAAGGAAGATGTCTTACCTATTGTGATGTATGCTATTGGTGCTGATCAGCTGACAGAGAAGGTAGATACACACACATATTAGCATACACATGTTCAGACATATAAACATGCACAGGCATTTGCATATGCACATACATAGGGACCATTCAGAACAAGTTGATCCAAGGACTAACAGATCCACGGATCAAATATGGCGCCACCCACTTGAAAACATGCCGAGCTGCTGGGAGGGTGTGCGTGGGAGATGGGAAATCCATTGTCAAGTACGTGCCATATATTTGATGCGAGGACTAGTTGGTCTGCAGATTAACTGTGTTGTGAATGCTCTCATATGCAGATTATCAGCTGGACATCATTTCTAAAAGACATGTAATGTTTCATTAGCATGTATAATCTGAAATTAAGATGTCCTCATAATATGACTGCAACTGCAATTTTCCATGTAAACTTATTACAAACATGAAAACGACATGTTGGAAGTTCCGTGAATGTTATACCTATAATTATACAGTTTTAGATATGAACTGCTACTATGATTAATACTAACATGTTAATAATTGAGTAATAATGATAGTGATTAATTTAGAACAGTTCTGATAGCCAGGAGCGGGTGTAGAGTTGTGAACAGTGTGCCAGAAGCAGTGTGTTATCTGGTGGTGTGCGTGGCATACACTGTGATATAGGAGAGATAGCGGCCACTGATAGCCTAAAGTTAGAAGTCATGTAATGGGGAAGATAACACGTCATATTTCAGGGATAGGAAACCTATGTTTTAAAGATACTGTGTGATAATCCTTATGAGTTGTGAATAGGGGTACATCACAGAATTTTATTTATTGTTTTGTTATTTGATGTGCCTCTTGCGGTATGGAGCATGGGGGAGGTAGCCGTTGTGTTTTCCCCTGAGAGCACTGTCACACTTTTGTATATGTCATACCTAAGGGCTCATTCCCTATGAAATTATCTCTCTACCTAGATGGATCCAACTCCAAGGGGTCTGCAATCAGATTGACAGGATAGCTGTGTTAAGTGCCTTGTTTGTAACCAGGCAAACCACACACTTTATAAACTAGTCCAAAATGACCCATCTCAAAAAGTCACTTTTTCCCAGTTATGAATTTATTGAAGCTATAAGATCACTTGCCAATGAAAAACACTGGCAAGGATTTCAGTCCTGTAGCTCCAGTTACTCTTACAGTATTTGTTACTTACAAGTCCAAAGAAACTCCTAGTGAACAAGAACTTCAGTTGAGTTGATATAAGATATCACTGTCATTTTGTTTAGTGAGTTTATGGACCATACTTGTCTCACAGATGACACAAGTTGTCTGGGTCATTGTAATACATTTGTGTCAATCATTAACTTGCAAGTAATGACAGAACTGATTTGAAATATATTTTCTTTAAGAAGAGGAAGTGGTTGTTTCCACTGGCATTAAGCAAATATGGATGAGTTCACAATGAAGGTAGATGGATCCAACCTGGTGGGAATTCTTGCTGAGTGCAATTGAGTGCAACTGCAATGTATGAGCTGAAGCATATGGCTTTGACATTGTCCATAGAAACTCAGTGTGAACGGCAATGAAGATTTCTTCATTGAATGTAAATTAGCATTAGTATTTTATAATGAAAATGTTCTTTGTTTTCAGGATCTAGAAGAGCTGAAGGAATTGCATGAAGCAGAACCGGAACTGCCTGTATTTTTTGTCCGGGTACCACCTCCGCTCCCCCTGGACCTGACGGATGGACCAAGTAGGGTAAATGGCGTCGGCCCAACCAATGATTATCGCAACAGTAACAGTAAACGTAATTCCAAGAGAAACTCTGCTGAATACAAGATAGGACTGAATCTTTTCCAGCAGCTTTGTGATATAGGTTTCCTTAGTATGCTTCCAACATCCACAGAACAGGTGCTCCAAACCCTGAGCTCGTCCACATCTAGTGGCTCAGGAGAGCACGTTATCATGGAGAGCGAATTGTTGGAGAACTTTGATCAGTTTACGCCTTCGTTAGTGCAATACACTCAGCGTGTACTACGGCAGATGTTAGTGGCCGTTGCCGGGGTGATGAACCAAATACATGGACGCTGCTTGAAAATGATTATCATGACGGCGTTTGACATGCAGAGAGACATGATGGTGACGCCGCGCAGATTGGAGTTTGCGCGTGAAAAGGAGTGTGAGTTATACAACTCACTTATGGACATTGCCATGAAGAAGCAGGACGAGATAAAGACGATCATCGCAGAGACAGTTCAGGACATGAAGGAAAAATTGGTAGCGAAAGCTGCAGAATACGATTTCATAGGTACTGATATTGCTATGTCCTTGCTATATAAGCTAGGGTGTGTTGGGTGTCTTTTAACATGCTCAACTATCAAATTGAATTCACACAGTGATAATGAACATTTTAGACCTGATGAGTTTGACATAAAGGTCCTGAATGGGCTGTAATGAAGGAGGGTTAGAAAACTACATTCAGCCTGTTTTTTGTCTCTTTTCTGGTGTAAAATAGAGTGCCCAAGCTCTATAATAACAGTTATTTAACTGTTGTCTTTTGACTGTGCACTTAAGCAAGGTGCCAGAACATATCTTGGATAATACTTTCTGCGAGAATCAAATTTCAGATTCTGACAGGCATGGATTTGATCTCTATGTTTTGAATATGATGTTGAATTGAGCTAGCACGTCAATACACATGGTCAGAACTGTTGGTAAGGCACAGGGTCAAACATAGACACACAATTACAGATAATTAACCATTGTATTTTGGCCTTCTAGTTCGAATTCTATCACCTCTATACTGATTCAAGATGGAGTTTTGTGAACCAGATTACACCACTGATTCATATGAACATTGTCTTTTGACCTTAGAGTTTGAATCACAGATGTTGCTGTGGAGGTTTGGAGGCATTTTCAAACATTGATTTCATGCAGATTTTAAGAACAATAAAACAGTGTCAGTTAACCTGCCTGTTGAAAGATTGAACTTTCTGGACCCAGCTTTATCAACAATGAATAGGGGCATCTTATAGATGACACTATTCATTGTAGATAAAAGTTTTATCCTCATGTCAGGTGTTCTGTAGGTAGTGTTTCCTAAACAATGGATACCTATTTTTTGTCTCTGATATTTCTGTGTTGACAGTGGTGAAAATGGCTGCTTTCCTCAGGAAAAACCTGTTGTCCCAGTTGCCCTCACTGAAATCTTCTATAGGATTCCTGTGGGACTGTACAGGAGTCTGTAGGATCATATAGGAATTCTATCTGGTCTTATAGGAAATTTCTATAAGGGTGATGAAACTGTTCCCAGAAGTTCACAGGTACCAAAAAAGAACTTTGTCTCAGTTGACTTTAGAGTGGATTTTTCTAAGTTGATTTGGACATTTGGGTTGAACATCCTTCAGTTGGTTTTGCATTCTTGTTGAAATCAATAAGCATCATCCCTTCCTTGCTGACTCTAGCCTGAATAGGAAATTAACTGCCAAACACAGACAGTCTCAACATGTATTGGGCCAATATATTTTGACTGTCTGGTTTTAAAAGGTTGTTGTAATTTCCTCTGCCAATTGATATGAAGGAGGTTATATTGTCATCAGTGTCTGCTTGTTTGTTTGTAAGTGGCCAAGGTACCTCAAATGTTTTATTGCAAATTTTGCTGAAATTTTCAGGATAAACAGTTTATCAGGAGGGAAATACATCAGTACAGTTTCAGCTGAATCCAGGTCTCCTTATATTTTAAAAACATTTCTTTATTTTATTTTTATACCATATTTCATTACCATTTTCCCATGACATTGGTCTGAACTCTTGGTGTACTCTGTAGATTTTATAAGCAGTGCTGTCTCTATGACAGTACCTGTATTACCTTCAGTCAGCTATAGACTCGGTATGTTTACTTATTTACACTGTCAACTGTTTACTCTCAGCTGAGATATTATTCAGATACTGTTTATATATATATATATAGATATATGACATGTGATATCTAGGCCAGACAATGCTATGGCACTGAACCTCTGACTTATTTTATCAGTTTTATCCAAATTACCAACTTTCACTCAATCTGAGGTAGTAGCAAAAAAGTGCACTGTGGCATATTTCAAATAAAGTAGTGTATAGCAGGGAAGAGATTTTTTCAACTTTTGGCAGATTTCTGCTGTCATTCTTGAGGTCCATGCAAGTGTGCAATAAAAATGTGTGTGTATGTAGAGAAGAGGGAGGGGGAGGAGGAGTAAGGTTTGGACATTAGGCCATATTTTCAGACTTTCTTTTTCACTAAATGGCAGTATTGCCCTTGCTGAAGGCAATGTGTAGGATCTTCAGCAGCTGGTGATATATATTGTATGCAGACAAGAGCTCAGAAAATGTTGCACCATCAATGCTGGGCATCTTAGGTTTGACCTTGACCTTGAGCCTACTGCCCTAAAGAACTTTTGAACTGAAATTGGTCTGAACTTTTAGACATTAATTTTAATCTACTTGGATCCAAGTTAAATCAGGAATGGTCTAATTAAATGGGTTTTACATAACTTTTAAAACAAAAAAGTTGTTGCTACTTTTCATTAACTACATGGACCAATACATTTATATTATAGTGTGTTGTTCTCATAGAAATTCTTGACCTTGGGGTCAATGGGTGCACAATCACAGGTTAGTCACCCTGTCACACGACCGTTTTGAAATCTCCCTCAATCTTATCTATTACTGCCCCATGGGAAATAAAGCATAAGGCCTTGTAGATAAATCTGTAGTCTAAGAGAAAGCTGAGCGTATTTGGCCTCGTGGTCTTTGATTTCTCTAACGATAGCAGTTTAGGAATTGTATAACTTTGAAATCAGCTTGAGGGTTACAGATTTTTGAGTCGCTCTTTTAGCCTCCAGAAGCATTTGCTGTGTCATCTAATCTGCAGCTAGAGGAATTTTATTTCTTGAATTGAATTACATTGATTTATGTATGCATTGACTTATGAAATACTAATGAATCAGTACATTTAATATATGCAATTAATTACATAAAAGAAATGTTTATTTATTTATTTATTTATTTATTTATTCAATATATATTTACATGTGTGTATATATTCAGGGGTAGACATCAGTGATTCCGCAGAGATTCGTACAGCGCGGGACCTGAAAATCTGCACGGGGCAGGTAGAAGAGCTGCTGCTAGGAGCCCTGAATAACGCCATCGCGGGCAAACTGGTAGAATCTGTGGACATACTACGAGACAGTTATACAGGTATAGCTTAGGCCTTGTGTCTCTTAACACATTTGCTCTTTTGTCATTTTTCTACTGTTTTATTTTTGTTCTGCCATTTATTTTGTTGTCTTCAATGGGCTGTCCACTACGAAGTGGTTGGGTCCTTTGCCACTGTTGTGTTAGAACTGGTGCTGTTTTGATCATGGTGACTGATGAACAACCTTGGTAAGAGGCTGGCTGGTGAGTGGCAGCCAAGGTGGCCCAACATCAGCAAACATTTTTTCACCTCCCTCCACCCTAAATTGAACTCTTCCCTGACACTTACCTGTGTAAGACACTTGTTAACTAGGGGCAAAACTGACGTGCAATAAACTCAACATATATTTTACGTGGTGTATGTTTTCAAAGAGCTGCCTATTACATTTAGTTTAGGTGACTTTTACCCTAATAGCCAGGCCATTAAGTTAATTGCCAATCTCTCTAAAATGGACTGATCCAGTTTAGTGCACCACTTGAGGCACATTCAGAACCAGTTGATCTGCGGACTTAGTAGTCGCTGGATCAAATATGGCGTGATCCACCTAAAAGCATGGCAAGATTTTATTGCTCTTCTCCTGCTGGACGGCGTGCATTGGAGGTGGGAATCCATTGTCAAGTGCACGCCATATTTGATCCATGGACTAGTTAGTCCTTGGATTAACTTGGTTGTAAATGTAGCCTTGGTGTGAAGAGGACATTATTGTACTCTATACATGGTTGTGAATACAGCCTTGGTGTGTAGAGGACATTATTGTACTCTATACTTGGTTGTGAATACAGCTTTGGTGTGTAGAGGACATTATTGTACTCTATACTTGGTTGTGAATACAGTCTTGGTGTGTAGAGGACATTATTGTACTCTATACATGGTTGTGAATGCAGCCTTGGTGTGTAGAGGACATTATTGTACTCTATACTTGGTTGTGAATACAGCCTTGGTGTGTAGAGGACATTATTGTACTCTATACTTGGTTGTGAATATAGTCTTGGTGTGTAGAGGACATTATTGTACTCTGTACATGCAGGTCGTATGTAATAAATCATAAGTCTCATGATACAAATCTACAGGGAGTTACGTGCCTGTCATCAGAAGTCCTATGATGGCCAACAGGATGCCAAAGCCATAGATTATAGAATCCGTGCTTGGCCTTAACTGTCACCATGTTCCATGTTTGAAATATTTAGACAATTTAAGTATCATAGAGTGATTATGTGAAGATTATTTGGGCAGAGTGAAACATACTTGGTGAATTTGGTTTTTAATTGTCTCTTGTGTGATGGTGATAAAAATATGAATTGTTTCTGAATTAAACCAAACATGTTTTTATGATGATGCATCTTGTGTCATAGATGAAAAATGGGTGTAGTCTCTTTGCAAATAAATGATTTTTTTTACCCATATAAAATATATCTACTTAAAGTCACAGTTGTGTAGTGGGTTTTATGGTCAGATAAAGTTTTGTTTTAACCACAAAATAAATTAAAGCAAGTGATTCCATTCCAAACATTTGCCACACAGTTTTGCATTCAAAATGAGAAAAATGTATATATATATATATATATAATTATTTCAGGGACACTCACCAGGTGCTTGGAGAGTTTAGAGAAGGCTGACAGGGACAATAATGAACATGCTTCAACAACAGAGGCACTCAAGCAGGTAAAATATGCAATAATAACTAGACATGCAGGCACACAGAATAACCCAACAGAGCTATCACTAGAAAATTGGTTTGAACTTATATTCAAAATAAGTTCATAGAATAAGCAGTCCTCATAAATATATAAAAGTATTGGTCCAAGATATTCACAATGTCTTTCCTGTTAGATAATCAGCATAATATTTCATATACCATATTAGAGTAATATTGTGGTTTAAAAGTGGATGTTGAGATCTTATGAATTATTACTGTCGTCCCAGTGTCAATGTAGAGTGCTTGCTTACAGAGATGTGCAGTATGTTGGTTGTTCATGTCATGCTTAGACAAGTTGAGGTCTGCCCCTTTCATGTTATTTATATAGACCACTGGTATATTGTATTGTATTGATTTGTAGGGTGCACATGCACACGCACACGCACACACACACACACACACACACACACACACACACAGAGAGGAAGATACTGCCTTCATATGTACATGCAGATTAGATCTGTTATTATTCCTCATGATTTATTCTTCAGATCATCAATGCAGCCTACCAGGTGGAAATCACAATCAGAACCAGCTCCTCCTTTGTCAGAATACTTCTAGAGAAGATGAAACAGGTTGGATAGCTTGCAGTAAATGGAACGATATGTCAAGATTGATTTATTCTTTGAACCCTTGAACATTTGTGACCAAAAATTGAAAAATAGAAATTGAACATACTAGTTTTCTTGACCAATACAATACAACTGCCCTAAACCAAGTTCATTTTAAGTTACAAATTAAAAAAAAAATGAAAAGTAGAATAAGAATTAGAGAAAAAAAGATAGTCAAGTTTAAGGATAGAGCCTATTTAGGTTGTGGACGATTTGAATTGACAAAATCACCTGTGTAATAGCTGGCACAAAACTTAGGGTAAACATAACTACGGGCAATTGAAACTGTTGAGCATTCTTTTTTATTTTTCTTTGTTTTCTGCTTTTTGCCTGTACATTTGACAGCTTTGCTGCCTTGTTATTTCTTCAGCTCATTCAGTCCATGCCCTGGAAGACACCACCAAGAGTAGACGAGAATTGGAGGAAAAAGATGGCTCAGGACATGATCAAAAGCCTTAGTGAAGCAAGGTAAGGTCAAGGTCAAAAGATTGAGGTCAAGGTAATCCTAGGTCGAGGCATAATATGAAAAGAATCTGAAGCCTCAGTTATGATGAGGTTGATAGTGTTACTTTTATCATTTTTTGGATTATGTATTTTATTTTAAGTTTATGAATACTTAATTAGCTTTGCAACACTCTAATTTTCAGACAAATGATATATATTCTTGTTCAATCTTTTAAATCTCTTCTTATTTCTAGAATGTGTTCTTGTTTTGGAGATATTTCTTCAAGATACATGTCTCTCACTTACTCTGTTATTTATGTAGATAGTAGTCAGTTTTATTATATACAGAGTCCCACGTAACACAGTTACCCACTCTACTGAATTACTTTTATTCTATTAACAATAACCCCAAAGCCTTGTGTCTGCTGAGATCTTTGTATGTATTAAGAGTTGAAACTAAAAGAGCAATGTTTTCAGGAATGCTGCTCCAGTGAGGTAAGATGAATACGTAACAGGAAGTGAGATTATGTGTAAACATTGAAAGAAAAGAGTCTCTCTCTCTCTCTGCCTTGTCCCAGTTTCACAAAAGAATATAGGGCTTAGCTAAGATTGCAAAACAACACGAACTTCTTTGTGAAGATGCACTTCAAAAAGAATTTGATCAAACCCTTTCTTCTTTCCCCTTCCCCCCTACTTGTCTGAGAAGTAAACCCCCAAAACAATTTCTGATAATGTTTACTGTGAAATCTACTTACAGTGATGACTCAAAGCTGTTCAGGTATGTTATCCACAATAAACAGGACCCAGTCATTTTATTAAAGGTCCTGTCATCATGTTTTGAATATCTGTGTTCATTGCATGTTTTCACAGGGGAATTTAGACTCAAAATTGGTCTAACGTTTTAGACCAAAATCTTAGTCTATTTGTCTCAAGATTGATTGCAGTAATTGTCCAGTGTGATCAAATATTTCACCTGTTTCATACTGAGAAAGAAATGGACACTGTTTTGGATCAGTAGTAACATCCATTTTAGCGGACTATGACAGGTTTGTTCTGAATAGTAGTACAGACCAAATTCGGTCTTTTAATTTTTTGTGGAACTGGCCCTGGCAGTCTTAGCCTGGCAACCTATATAAATACAGTTATTTGTTTGTGATCCATCACCCGCAGTCAAATAAACACAACTTCAGTTTCTTATCCATCATATGTTTTCTGAAGTAAGACTTTTTTGTGTTCCTTTGTATTTCCTGGACTATGAAATATATCAAATTAAGAAGTAATCAAATCCATTACCAATTCAAAAGCCATGTGACAAACCATTCCTTATTGGTTTCTACATTTCAAAGTTTATACCCTTCTCTCTGATCAAATTTTTTGTATGATAATTGTAAAAAAAAGTCCCTCCCTCCCCTCCACAAACACATGACCACCTTCAATCAATTGAGAAAAATTTTTAACAGATAATTATTTTCCAGTTTTGTCACACATTTTTCACCCTGAGCTTCAGAGATAACTTGACACTTACCTCTTCACTATAGCCTATCTTCATCGTGTCAAGTTACCTCTGACGAAAATAGTTTGACCTAGTTTATATAAGCCAATCGAATCCAAGTTTCAAAATTTTTCACCAAAGTTTGGTGAAAACGCTGATTGGTTGACCGTCAATCGGTAATCCTCGGCTGATTCCGCAAGCTCCATACTAACAACAAAGTTATTGTCGAGTGCGGAGACATCAGAGTAGTTCCGAGTGCATAACCGTACACAAAGAAAGCATGGCGTCTCCTACGAGTGACTACATAAAATAATGTGTTAAGTTATCTCTTGATTCTTTGCAAAATATGAGTATATCAGAATTAAAACCAGAGCAGTTTGAGGCCCTGCATCATTATCTACTGAGGGATGATGTATTTTGCGTGCTGCCCACAGGTTACGGCAAGTCCCTGATATTCAGCCTTATCTTTGATTGGTCCGGATTTGAACAAAGCGCGCTTTGACTCGATCGCGTTCATTGGCTAGATAGTTCAATGAGTCATTGAGTGCGGGATTTAAATTTGATTGGCGGGCGGCGGGAGCAATCGAATGTGGTCAGAGGTAACTTGACACGATGAAGATAGGCTATAGTGAAGAGGTTTGTGTCAAGTTATCTCGGAAGCTCAGGGTGACATTTTTTGGCGTTAATGTTTTTCCCTATTTCTCTCCTCCTCCCCCCCCCCCCCCCTTTGCTGCTGATCTTGGTAGCATCTGTTGTGAATTACCCTGTTTGACATATTTTGTATTATGTGAACTCCTTCAAAGCCATATAATAGGAAGACACTGTGATCTTACAGTTCTAGACCTTACAATTTGTAATGTCTGTCTATTTGTTGTCTTTGTCATGCATCACTTCAATCACAGGTTTCAGTCATTGCTCATATTTATCAAAAGGCATGATTACTCCAAGAAAAGTTTAGTTTCAAATATAGGAAGATTAATACTGAATTTTGTTGTCTGATCAGCAAAGTAGTTGAAAAAGGAAACAAAATGTCAATTTTAAATTGATGAAAACTATCAGAGTGACATAATTGTGACACTCAAAGCAAATATAGTTATACCCCCTTTACACTGGACGGTGTCCTCTCTACGTCCTTTCTGCGACCATGAAATTTGGCATCGCTGTGGTCTAAATAAGGAGGCAAGAGCATCGATTTTGTATCAGAATGAATGCTCAATGATCGGCCAGTTGTCGGCACGTAAAGTATTAAAAATTTTTAACTCTCAAATGGGGCCGTACTGCTGGACACAGAAAGGACGCCGTCCAGTGTAAAGGGGCCCTTACCTAAATTTTTTACAACTGCTAAACCAACAAGTAACATGTTGTGATCTTATTATGAACATTTATAATTTTATATGAATGTTTTATTTTTATGGCACTTATTAACATGAAATAAAATTTACTTAATTTCAGACTTGCCAAAAGCATCTGTGCACAATTCAAGGAGCGGCTCAAGAACTCCCACGAGCAGTTCTCTGCTGCCCTTAAACAGCTTGAAGCAAAGCATTCTGGGAGACTGGAGAAGACGGAGGAACAGCGACTGAAAGTGAGGAAGATCCATGCTCCAAAAGTTGCTAAACTAGCCCTTGAAAGTATATCAATGAAGGATTTTATCTCATTTGGTGAGTTTAAGGCAGGTGTGCATACTATCCTTAGCTTCAGGTTACGTGAGAGTCATGCAGCTTCTTCATTTTCAAATCTTCAGAGCCGCATCTTATCAGCACTAATCAGAAACAAAGATTTAGTCATCTAGATTTTGTGGTTACAAAGAAAGCCATGTGAGGAAGTTATAAGAACCTTGTAACATAGATAATTTTAAAACATCAGTTAGATTCTGCTGACAAGAATGTATGATAAGCTGGCACATATGGATATTTGAAACTCAGACTAACAAATCCAGAATGTTTCAAAACATTAATCTTTGGGTAATGTCTGTAGGAACATGCAATTATGATATACATGATGACAGACATGAAAGTTTTCACATCTTTTTAACATCTCTACTTCATATCTGTCATGTTCATTACGTCATGATCAGTTTATTTATGGTTGTGTAATATTGGCAAATCAGATGATAATAAAAGTGTACCTATATTGATATGATGGCCATTTAGAACCCCAAACATGAGTCTTGGAGTCTTTCTCGTTAAATATTATATATAAGCGTGACAATATCCACATCCTATCATTCCAGGCATGCCTCAGCTAGGTCGTGAGATTGGCCGAGGTCAGTATGGTGTGGTGTACTCCTGCGAGAACTGGGCCGGAATCCACAACTGTGCCATCAAGTCAGTGGTGCCACCTGACGAGAAACACTGGAATGATCTGGCGCTGGAGTTTTTCTATACAAAGTAGGANATTTAAATTTTGATGTTGAATTTGCAGTTAAGCATAATGTATTTTTGTATCAGAATTGACAGCAGCCTATTTTGTGCATTATTTTCAGCTTTTTGTCTGTACATTTGACAGCTTTGCTGCCTTGTTTATTTTTCTTTGTTTTCTGCTTTTTGCCTGTACATTTGACAGCTTTGCTGCCTTGTTATTTCTTCAGCTCATTCAGTCCATGCCCTGGAAGACACCACCAAGAGTAGACGAGAATTGGAGGAAAAAGATGGCTCAGGACATGATCAAAAGCCTTAGTGAAGCAAGGTAAGGTCAAGGTCAAAAGATTGAAGTCAAGGTAATCTTAGGTCATGGCATAACATGAAAAGAATCTGAAGCCTCAGTTATGATGAGGTTGATAGTGTTACTTTTATCATTTTTTGGATTATGTATTTTATTTTAAGTTTATGAATACTTAATTAGCTTTGCAACACACTAATTTTCAGACAAATGATATATATTCTTGTTCAATCTTTTGAATCTCTTCTTATTTCTAGAATGTGTTCTTGTTTTGGAGATATTTCTTCAAGATACATGTCTCTCACTTACTCTGTTATTTATGTAGATAGTAGTCAGTTTTATTATATACAGAGTCCCACGTAACACAGTTACCCACTCTACTGAATTACTTTTATTCTATTAACAATAACCCCAAAGCCTTGTGTCTGCTGAGATCTTTGTATGTATTAAGAGTTGAAACTAAAAGAGCAATGTTTTCAGGAATGCTGCTCCAGTGAGGTAAGATGAATACGTAACAGGAAGTAAGATTATGTGTAAACATTGAAAGAAAAGAGTCTCTCTCTCTCTGCCTTGTCCCAGTTTCACAAAAGAAAATAGGGCTTAGCTAAGATTGCAAAACAACACGAACTTCTTTGTGAAGATGCACTTCAAAAAGAATTTGATCAAACCCTTTCTTCTTTCCCCTTTGCCCCTACTTGTCTGAGAAGTAAACCCCCAAAACAATTTCTGATAATGTTTACTGTGAACTCTACTTACAGTGATGACTCTAAGCTGTTCAGGTATGTTATCCACAATAAACAGGATCCAGTCATTTTATTAAAGGTCCTGTCATCATGTTTTGAATATCTGTGTTCATTGCATGTTTTCACAGGGGAATTTAGACTCAAAATTGGTCTAACGTTTTAAGACCCAAATCTTAGTCTGTTTGTCTCGAGATTGATTGCAGTAATTGTCCAGTGTGATCAAATATTTCACCTGTTTTATACTGAGAAAGAAATGGACACTATTTTGGATCAGTAATAACCTCCATTTTAGCAGACTATGACAAGTTTGTTCTGAACAGTAGTACAGACCAAATTCGGTCTTGAATATTTTGTGGAACTGGCCTGGCAGTTTTAGCCTGGCCTCCTTTAGAACTGCAGTTGTTTGTTTGTGATCCAACACCCCCAGTCAAATATCCTCACAACTTCAGTGTCTTATCCATCATATGTTTTCTGCAGTGAGACTTTTTTGTGTTCCTTTTTATTTACTGGACTATGAAATATATCAAAATAAAAGAAGTAATCAAATCCATTACCAACTCAATAACCATGTGACAAACCATTCCTTATTGGTTTCTACATGTAAAGGTTTGTACCCTTCTCTCTGATCATAGTTTTTGTATGATAATTGTAAAAAAAAGTCCCTCCCTCCCCTCCACAAACATGACCACTTTCAATCAATTGAGAAAATTTTTTTAACAGATAATTACTTCCAGTTTTGTCACACATTTTGTGGCATTAATGTTTTTCCCTATTTCTCTCTCTCCCCCCCCCCCTTGCTGCTGATCTTAGCAGCATCTGTTGTGAATAACCTTGTATTTTATATTATGTGAATACCTTCAAATTCATACAGCAAAACACTGTGATCTTACAGTTTAAGACCTTACAATTTGTAATGTCTGTCTGTTTGTTGTCTTCTTCATGCATCACTTTAGTCACAGGTTTCAGTCATTGCTCATTACTGATTACCCAAAGAAAATGACAATTGACCAAGTTTCAAATATAATGGAAAAATTAATACTGAATTTTGTGGTCTGATCAGCAAAGTAGTTGAAAAAGAAAAACAAAATGTCAATTTTGAATTGGTGAAAACTATCAGAGTGACATAATTGTGACACTCAAAGTAAAAATGGTAACTTAAATTTTTTACAACTGCTAAACGAACAAGTAACATGCTGTGATCTTATTATGAACATTTATCATTTTATATGAATGTTTTATTTTTATGGCACTTATTAACATGAAAAAAAATTTACTTAATTTCAGACTTGCCAAAAGCATCTGTGCACAATTCAAGGAGCGGCTCAAGAACTCCCACGAGCAGTTCTCTGCTGCCCTCAAACAGCTTGAAGCAAAGCATTCTGGGAGACTGGAGAAGACGGAGGAACAGCGACTGAAAGTGAGGAAGATCCATGCTCCAAAGGTTGCAAAACTAGCCCTTGAAAGTATATCAATGAAGGATTTTATCTCATTTGGTGAGTTTAAGGCAGGTGTGCATACTATCCTTAGCTTCAGGTTACGTGAGAGTCATGCAGCTTCTTCATTTTCAAATCTTCAGAGCCGCATCTTATCAGCACCAATCAGAAACAAAGATTTAGTCATCTAGATTTTGTGGTTACAAAGAAAGCCATGTGAGGAAGTTATAAGAACCTTGTAACATAGATAATTTTAAAACATCAGTTAGATTCTGCTGACAAGAATGTATGATAAGCTGGCACATATGGATATTTGAAACTCAGACTAACAAATCCAGAATGTTTCAAAACATTAATCTTTGGGTAATGTCTGTAGGAACATGCAATTATGATATACATGATGACAGACATGAAAGTTTTCACATCTTTTTAACATCTCTACTTCATATCTGTCATGTTCATTACGTCATGATCAGTTTATTTATGGTTGTGTAATATTGGCAAATCAGATGATAATAAAAGTGTACCTATATTGATATGATGGCCATTTAGAACCCCAAACATGAGTCTTGGAGTCTTTCTCGTTAAATATTATATATAAGCGTGACAATATCCACATCCTATCATTCCAGGCATGCCTCAGCTAGGCCGCGAGATTGGCCGAGGTCAATACGGTGTGGTGTACTCCTGCGAGAACTGGGCCGGAATCCACAACTGTGCCATCAAGTCAGTGGTGCCACCTGATGAGAAACACTGGAATGATCTGGCGCTGGAGTTTTTCTATACAAAGTAGGCTTTACATATTGTTGTTATTATTATGGAAAAAATTATGGAGCAGTTTTGAGTAGGTGTGTTACTGCCAAGATACAGATACTTAGGAAAAGCAAGATTGAAAAAATAAATAAATGAAAAATAGATAAATAAGATAAATTTAAGAAGAGAAGAAATTAAAGAAAAAACCTGATGTAGAGAAATCATGATCTTATTTTTTTATTTTCATTTATTTTTTTTATGCCCACAGAAATGTCCCAGAGCACCCTCGTGTAGCCGGTTTACGTGGCTCAGTGATTGACTACAGTTATGGCGGGGGCTCCTCTCCCGCTGTCTACCTCATTATGGATAGAATGCACAGAGATCTGTACGCTGCCATTAAGACTGGACTTGACTGGCAGAGCAGGTAAGGGGATGTGGGTATGATGGGTGTGGTTGGTATAGGTATGATTGGAATTAATAGGTATGATTTGTATGATATGTGGGTATAAGTCTGTGGATATGGTTTGGTATAGGTATGATGGGTATAGGTATGATTTGTATGATATGTGGGTATAAGTCTGTGGATATGGTTTGGTATAGGTATGATGGGTATAGGTATGATTTGATGGATATGTGGGTATAAGTCTGTGGATATGGTTTGGTATAGGTATGATGGGTATAGGTATGATTTGATGGATATGTGGGTATAAGTCTGTGGATATGGTTTGGTATAGGTATGATGGGTATAGGTATGATTTGTATGATATGTGGGTATAAGTCTGTGGATATGGTTTGGTATAGGTATGATGGGTATAGGTATGATTTGATGGATATGTGGGTATAAGTCTGTGGATATGGTTTGGTATAGGTATGATGGGTATAGGTATGATTTGATGGATATGTGGGTATAAGTTTGTGGATATGGTTTGGTATAGGTATGATTTGATGGATATGTGGGTATAGGTTTGTGGATATGGTTTGGTATAGGTATGATTTGATGGATATGTGGGTATAGGTTTGTGGATATGGTTTGGTATAGGTATGATTTGATGGATATGTGGGTATAGGTTTGTGGATATGGTTTGGTATAGGTATGATTTGATGGATATGTGGGTATAGGTTTGTGGATATGGTTTGGTATAGGTATGATTTGATGGATATGTGGGTATAGGTTTGTGGATATGGTTTGGTATAGGTATGATTTGATGGATATGTGGGTATAGGTTTGTGGATATGGTTTGGTATAGGTATGATTTGATGGATATGTGGGTATAGGTTTGTGGATATGGTTTGGTATAGGTATGATTTGATGGATATGTGGGTATAGGTTTGTGGATATGGTTTGGTATAGGTATGATTTGATGGATATGTGGGTATAGGTTTGTGGATATGGTTTGGTATAGGTATGATTTGATGGATATGTGGGTATAGGTTTGTGGATATGGTTTGGTATAGGTATGATTTGATGGATATGTGGGTATAGGTTTGTGGATATGGTTTGGTATAGGTATGATTTGATGGATATGTGGGTATAGGTTTGTGGATATGGTTTGGTATAGGTATGATTTGATGGATATGTGGGTATAGGTTTGTGGATATGGTTTGGTATAGGTATGATTTGATGGATATGTGGGTATAGGTTTGTGGATATGGTTTGGTATAGGTATGATTTGATGGATATGTGGGTATAGGTTTGTGGATATGGTTTGGTATAGGTATGATTTGATGGATATGTGGGTATAGGTTTGTGGATATGGTTTGGTATAGGTATGATTTGATGGATATGTGGGTATAGGTTTGTGGATATGGTTTGGTATAGGTATGATTTGATGGATATGTGGGTATAGGTTTGTGGATATGGTTTGGTATAGGTATGATGTGTATGTCAGTATGAGTATGGTGAATATGATGGATATGAGTATGATGGGAAGGATGGGTATGGGTATTATGGATACAGGATGGATATCGGTTGTTCCTTTTAACACTTGTTAGGATGTTACTTGGCCATTACAATGTATAACAGTCATAAAGACAGTAATGTTATAAAGATATTGTGTTTCAGGTTACAGGTAGCCATAAATGTTGAAGAAGGGATGAGGTTTCTCCACAGATAAATTATTACAATGATATTGTGTTTCAGGTTACAGGTAGCCATAGATGTTGTAGAAGGTATGAGGTTTCTCCACAGTCAGGGACTTGTCCACAGAGACATCAAACTGAAGAATGTGCTGGTAAGACATCTTATCTCACCTAACACATCTCACCTAACACAATTAGACACCATGAAGGACATAAAGGGATAAAATGCATGTTAGACCTTAATAAAGTAAAAATAAAAATTATAGATGTTTCTGCCAACTAACCTTTATCACCAAGTTCTACCCTATCTAAGTGGTGCAGTAAATTATATTTTATCCCTAGGAACATGTATTGTAGGCTGGTGTCAAGTAATACCAACCTTTTGGCTTATATACAAGTGCTGTTATCTAATTGTGGCCTTTATTTCAGATGGACAAACAGAATCGAGGTAAAATCACAGACCTGGGTTTCTGTAAACCTGAGGCTATGATGAGTGGAAGTATCGTAGGAACGCCTATCCACATGGCACCTGAACTCTTCAGTGGGAGGTACGATAACAGTGTGGATGTCTACGCCTTTGGGATCTTGTTCTGGTACGTTTGTGCGGGACATGTCCGACTGCCGTTTGCATTTGAGCAGTGTACGAGTAAGGACCAGCTGTGGATGTCTGTGAAGAAAGGTAGGTGGCAGCACTAGCAGGCTTGTCTTGAGGTCACAAAGTTTTTACGTTGTGTTTAAGTTTAGTTGTACATATGAGTTTCAGGTAATACCATGTGACAACAAATCCATTCTGCAAGATATGAGATTGGTGACAACATGGGTTATCAGGTGACGGTCTGTATGATGTGTATGCATGTAGAAAAACAAGTCACTAATTTTAAAATGTGTGACTGTAAGACAGAATCGGAAGAAAACTGATATATTGAGTTACATATTAATAACTGAGTTTATTGACCCACCATTTTTTCAAACAAAATTATACAACTTCTACAAAACTACTTCTCTAAGTAAAATATGTAGATCTGCTTATCTGAAAATATTGAATGATATCTATATTGTAACAGATTGAGGAATGTCTGAATGGAAATAAATTGATATAAAGTTTAATTTGAATGATATGAGAAAAGTCAATTTGTTATGAATATGGTACGAGTTGATATAATCACATCAGCATGGGGAAATCTCTCTGAGCTCTGAAGACAGTTCTGTGATGGCAGGTGCTGATTCCGCACAAGATGAAAAACCTTCAGATTGCGATGATTGTTGCTGAGTGGTTGACAGCAGTTGTTCTGATGAAGTGATGTCTGCTGAATTTGATGATTGTAATGTAATGAAAGGTGTGTCAGGAGTTCCCCCAGGGGAGGCTGGGCAGTGTTCTTGGTTGTGTCCATGTCCATGTCTCTCTCGACCATTTTCTAATTTTGGCATGGCGTACAGTAGTTTTTCCCAAAACCAGCTGTCGTCTGCTCTCAGGTATGTGTTTGTAGACAGATAAAGTTTAAGATCAGAGTCAAGGTCACTGGGAATATCGCCCAATACAACCACAATAAGATGGTTGCTGCGGTCCTTCAGAACTTGATGGTGGGCCGTTTTAAACTCGTAAGTGCACCACTCACTGTGGATGAAGTTTTGAGAAAGAAGCATGATTGTACGCTTGCTGTTCTCTACAGCCTCGACAATAGATTCTGCGATAGACGCGCCAGGGATGAAATGTTTGTAGTGGACGCAGACTTTGAAAGGGGGAGTTTGATTTTCCAGCCCAGGCACAAGAGTTTGCACAACGTATTTCTCATCCAGGCTGCTGTACGAAATAAAAGCATCGTAGATTTTGTCGGAATCTTGTTTATCTGATTTTGAGAAAAATCGAAAACGAAATTTGTAATATAGCCATATTCTGACCTTGAGATTGCATTTGTAGAGAAGAAGCATGCAGGCGATGATGACCACAAAACTGCCAACAAGACCTCCAACAATGGCAGCAATATCTGCCTTTTCGATGGGGCAGCCAAAATTGTTATCTGGGACATTTTTTATTGATTTTCCCAGAGTTCCCAGCTCGCCTGAAACACACGTTATGTCGTCAAGATCTCTGATGATATTGGAATTGTTCAGAAGCCAGTGTTTGATACTTCTTGCATGGCAGTCACAACGCCAAGGGTTCCCACCAAGATAAAGATCATTTACCGTTAAATCTTTCTCAATTTGTCTCATGGAAATGGTCCGAATGGAATTGTATCTTAGAGATAGTGTAGTCAAGTTGTGTGGAAGTACCTGTGATGTAGGGAAAGTAGAAATAGAGTTATTATCCAGGTAAACTTCTCTGTACATTGTGTCAGACATGTCAGGGATTGTCTCCAGATAGTTATTACTGACATCCAGAATGGTCGTGTTCTGGTCAATTTTCTGAGACATGTGAATGAGACCCTGCCACGAGCAGTTTGTGATTGTTGCATCATCATATCTCCTATAGATGGTGCTGCAAGCAGTATTTCTATCACTGACAGGACAAACCAGATTTTTGGCGTCAACTACAGCAAGGTCCGTACCATTTAGAGAAGGGGGACCATGACACTTCAGACTGTTTTCATAATAGAACCTCAGATTATCATTAGCGTGACTGTTTTTTTGGATAAAACTCAGGAAATCATAGAGAAGGCAGTCACAGTGCATGGGGTTATTACCTATGTATATAGTAAGAACATGTCCCTTGGATGGACCTATAGCAAAGTCTGGATCAATGCCTTCAAGGGCAGGCGGAAGGTCCACCAGTCTGTGAAAGAAGGTGAAGTCTATGGAGGTCATCTGGTTATGAGAAAGTTTCAGCGTGTGCAAACTTGGCATGTTTTCTAGTGCATTAGCAACCCACATTCCACTGTTAGAATCTTGGAATCCCAGCTCGAATCCACTAATGGAATTATGGGATAGGTCAAGGTACTGGAGCGATTGTAAATTGGAGATACCACTCTGGACTCTTTGGTATTTATTATATGACAGATCCAAGTAGGTCAGGAACTGATTCCAGGCAAATGGATGCTCTTCTTTATCACCCACTTTGGCCAGCAAATTATGGCTGAGGTCTAGACGTAGTAAGTCGATTCGATATTCAAATGTACCATCCTCAATTTTACTGAGAAAGTTGTGACTGAGGTCTACTCGTGTCAAGCTGGTGAGATTTCTGAAAATGCCACCTGGTATTGTCCGAAGACGATTCCAGCTGAGGTCAAGAATGTGCAGGTTACGGAGTCCGCTCAAGGTATGATTGGTTATGGAAACAAGGGCATTGTCTGTGAGGCTTAGTGAGGAAAGGCTGTAAAATCCTTCAAGAAAGTGATCCTGAACTGACGTCAACTGAGGGTTCCTAGAAATAGTCAGTGATTTGATATGTTTGAGGCCTTGAAGTATTCTTCTTGTTAAACTTTGGAGTCCAGTACTCCTTATTTCAACAGCTTCCAGGTTTAACTGACTTAATTCATCAAGAATTCCATCTTGAAGTTCAGTATCTGAAATTGCCTCAAGAATTAGTGTCTGCAATGAAGAAAACAAAGCTTCTGGTGCGATGCCTCGAAGCGAGCAAAACTTCAAGTGCAAACCTGACACGAGGGGAACCAGTGTGGAAACGTAAGGCTGAAACATATCTCCGAAAAAATGGAAATTTTGTGATTTTCTGCAGTCGACCTGTAGTATCCTGTTATCTTGTATAGAGGCATTGAAAATATTGAGCTTTGCACAGCTCAGTTGGTTTATCCATCCCGTTTTCTCAACACCTGTGCACTCACAGCCAGCGGGACAGTTGTCACTTACATGGGATACTCCAGCACAAGATTGTATTTTCAGCAGCAGGAATACAGCTATCACAGCAATGGGAATGATAGAACTCATTTCTGGGTGTGTTATGTTTATATGCAGTTTGCTTATAAAGTTCCAGTGTCTTTAAATTTGCAGTAGAATTGCACAGCTCAGTTTTCCTTCAATCAGAGCTCTCAGAACCTAAGTATATACCATTCCTGGAAGGGAGAGAAAACTGGTTACAGTATCCAGGTTCAAATGCCAATGAGTCTTGTAGTATTCAGCACATGTTGCCTCACTTAATAGTCTTAACATATGCATTTTAGAATGTTTATAAACTGACTTCCTGCTTTCAGTAATGATAATTTGCATATCCCTAGTGCCAAACAGACGTCCTTTTCAGGCCCTCATGAGTCTGGGCACCTGTTCTAGATCTGTTGCCAATTTCCTAAATACTGGGTCATTTGCCTGCCATTACATCTAGTGGGAAGATGTCCTCATAGACCTTGCAGAGAACTGGCTGTCTGAAATAGATTATAAAATTTTATAGCACTAAGGAGTATAAAAAGAAGAAAAAAAAATCCTCGATTTCCATTTTATGCATAGTACTTACCAGTGAATATAGAAAAGGATAAAACATGAATTACAATGTAATCACAATGTAAAAGATATGGATGTGTACAAACACTGTCAATAAATGGTAAGGAAACTCTAAGATACGGAGGTAAACTTGCACTGAATGGTAAAAAACCATCACAGCATTTCTGGATGATGCAAGCACTCTGCTAAAGACGTGTTTCCACTAAAATTGGAGTTGATTTATTTTGGTATAGCCCACCTTGGCCATATCCATTATGGCCTATTATGATAGCTGGTTTTAAGAGAATTTCAAATTTCAAAAACTTTTTCAGTTTAATAAACCTGTTTTTAATGTCTCTTTATTTCTTTTTATTAGGTTACAAGTAATTAGGTAGGCGAGGGTTAAGGGATGACTGATAAGCCCTCACCAGGAAATTAGAATTTAAAATGCTGGACAAGTCTGAAGAAAAATTATAAAAGGGTGTCAGTCTTTAAGTGACAAGTTGAAAACAATGCAGTCAGATAACAGATTTGCACGCCTCCTCTTGTCTCAAACATACTCGTAATAATTACCAGCTTTTCTGTATTTTATTCAATGTTGGGAGGAATGTTAAATTGTTGGTCTGATTTTATTCAACGAGAGTCCCAGTGTAGTTGGCTAGATCTACATACAGTAAATACGTTGGGAATGAGCCCTTAGGCATTCAAGTTGAATAGGCCCCAGGGTGCCATATGGCATGTCCAGAGCAATAAAAAAGATTTTAGAAAAAAATTGATCTTCTGTCTCCTTATGAGCAATAATGTCAACATGTAGCACTATTAGCAGATATGTATAGTTGATGGCTTAGGAAACCTCTTCACACTGTGTACACACTACAATTGATGGATGGAGGATATTGATGGAAGTTGATCTAAATTGGGTTGTAGATGGATGTATGGTTGTGTAAAAAACTTATGTGAATATACAGAAGAGTGTAAACTTAAAAGCTCTTAATTGTAAAATAATGTTTGCTTTCTTTCACTGATATATTTTAACCAGCAATTAAACACCCACCTAGCTTCATCAAACAAATGGGGTTGTATAATAAAAGCAACTTTGTTTGGCCAAATTTCGAACAATCAGTATTCTTTGTTCCCTTCTTTCTTGTTATGAATGAGACTATGAAAGTTTGTGGTACACTGGGATGGAGGAGACATAAATAATCCTTTTTACCTTCAGAGAAAATGATATGACAAAAAACTTAAGTACAATTAAGATATGTTATATAGCAAGTGCAATATGCTCTTCACTCACCTCATTGTTTATCACAACAATCATTTTTCTCTCTCTCTGTTTCCACCCTGCTGTCTTATGACTGACATTAACACAACACTAGGGATTGCTTTCACCCACCCATTCTGTGGACTATTTTATCAAAACATTGTGGTTTTTGACCCGGCCAATAGAAAACTCACCCACAATATAAAAGGACAAGCCCAAACCCCTTGGTTTTCACCCAGTTTTGAAACCATGCGTACAGATGAGTAATATATAGTTTTAAATAAATCAAGGTGACATATATTAGCACTATAATGACTTCCACATAGAAGTTCAGGGTGACTGCTTTGGTCTTGAAATGTCTACATTGTGGTCTTGGCACTACTGTACCCTCACCTTACAGCTAAATTCTTGTCATTGTTTCCTCTCGCTAAAGGTGTGTTTAGACACGGAAGATAAACCTGAACCGGTTTAGGTCTCAAGTGTGTTGCCATCTCCTTGTGTGGCTTAAGTCACCCACCTCCTGTCATATATTTCAACACGTCAATACCTACTTTATCATACAAAAAAACTTTTCCTCTTTATAAAAATGATGCGGCAAACAACTTGTCTTAAAAGATCTGATGCCCATGCATTCTGATATTTTACTCACCTTATGCCTTACTGCATGGGTAGGTCGATCTCACAGATCGAGTTATTTTAGCCCCAAAATTTGGAACAAAATTGTAGCCCAAACTATGGCCTAACTTCTGGCCCAGCCTTCTTCAGTAAAGACAGTAGTCTGGATTGATATAATTATTACACAAGGAGAGATAAGAACTGGATGTCCAACAACAGGATGTCCAACAACAGGATATCCAGGTACAAATAACAGGATGGTACTCCAGTTATTACTGACTGTTACAATACCTGTAGTAACTGTTACAATACCTGTAGTAACTGCTTTTGTCCTTTAAAAACTTTGACTCTTTTATATGGCATAGAGTAGGCAAATCATCTTGTAAATAGCTATACTAGTAGGTATATATATGCATCACTTAGCTTAGTAGGTCATTAAGTACCTGTGGCAGTTGCTTTCAATGTTTTACTTTTTACTTTGGTTGGTTTCTTTTATATTTATATTCTGTGTTATATTATTATTATCTGGCATGACAGTGATATATGGAAGCCTTAGGATGTATGCACAAATTAACACACACACACACACACACACACTCTCTCTCTCTCTCACTCTCTTGAAAAGTCTACATAATATTTATATATGTTTTATGGAAAATAACTGATGACCTGAAGGCATGCTATGAGACAGCAACTTTTAACTGTAACAGTTTTTAGACACGCAGTCGAAACAGCTATATTGTTAGCTGTGTACAGTTATGCTTTGTTGTGATGGCAGTTAAGTTGTACCGAATGTATTCATTTTCCTGAAAGGAGTGTTGACCTGTTCCGGAAGGGCAACTTCTAATAATAGATTTTATATATATCTTTTAACTTTTTCTCTTCTTTTCAGTTTCTTTGTGCTCCTTGTGTTTTTTTTTTTTTTTTTTTTTTTTATCAAACTAATTACAAGATGGAATTTTTGTTAAAACCTTTCCACCCAAAGTTGTTCTTTTCTAAACAAATTCATCCCAGTCACTTGTCTGTACTTCTTGAACTATTCAACCTCTGAATACTCACTATTGACTGAAACCTGGCTTCCCTTGTATAATTATTCCTCATATACCAGCAATTCCTAGTCAGCGGGATCCTAAGCCCATCTATACTCTGGTAGCACATCTCCTTACTTTAACCCCGTGTCTCTAACAGTTGGTAATGTTCTGCCTACCTAGTGCATGTTAAGCCAGTATAAAGATTGTTTCCTGTTTGGACTACCTGGCTGTGGTCAGCACAGCGTCCTCATCACTTGTTTACAATACTCTACTCTGTCTTGACATTCAGTTCAGTTTGTTGTAATTGTTCTTTCTCTCCCTGATTAATAACCCAATAAAGCAGTCAGCGCCAATATGAAAATTGACCTTCTACTCCTGTATGTTGATATTAGATAGTAGTTTAAAGAGCTTTATATAAGAAATATATCACTATAATTATTACAAAGTGAAAATCTAATGATTTTTGTGTACTACAGTGACAAAAAAATCCATCCCATTATGACGTTCTTACAAAAGCCTTTTTGGTGATGAAATAAGAAAGTATAAACTAAAGTAAAATACACTGCTTACCAGTTCAGTTGTTCAGCTCAGTCTGATAGAGCCAGATCCTATAACGATGATTCAGACACCAGAAATGTTGATTTAGAGAACCAATTTAATCCAAAATGTAAAAAAAAATATCAGATTGTCAAAGATAAACTAAAAGTTGCTATGATAACAGTGCCGTGTGGTTAAAATAAAGTGATGTAAAAACAGAAGTAAAAAATAAAGGACAGAATAAGAATTCCCCTTGGTTTAATTGATCTGTTAGTATCAGGAAAGAGGTGTGTTCGTTTCCACGTTTGTTGATTGCAGAAAATGCCAGTCTGAAAAGAGATAACGATGTTAAAGTGACGGAAAAATACTAATTAGCCAGGTTAATATCCTGATTTGAAGTGCTTGGTGTTAATGTACTTTCACAGAATATAGGTAGCAGTGGAGGCAGGTTAAAATCTTAATATTCTGCTAATTTATGTCTCAGGCTTGGTTGGGATGTGCCTGGAGAACTGTACAGCTTTTGTTAGAATTGCGCCAAGCTGTAGTGTAGAGTTCTTCTGATGTGTGTTGTTATTGATTAGTATTTGTATTAGCAAATAGTGATTCATTTTACAAATGTCTGCATGAGATAATGCAGCCCACTTATATAGTTTGGGACAACTTTTTCATTTCATTAATTTATTAATTTATTTTGGAATCAGTTTTTCTCAGACAAATATTATGAAATGTTAGTTGTTACTTGTTAGTTGTTATTTGTTGTTTGTTTGTTTTCCATGACAAGGCCAGCTGGGCCTCTGATATCCAGTATAAGGATCCATCAGAGAATTTCATCATATATGAAATATTCACTTTCCTGATATCTTCCTTTAAAATTTAAAATGAATAGATGGTTTGTTTCAGAAGACATCTAAATCTTCATGATGTCTACAAGGAAGTAATTACAATGCTATTAAAAAGATACAGGTCCATTTATGATTTGCCACAAGGAATTTTTTTTTTAGGAGATAGTACCTGGAGAAGGGTGTGCCGGGGGGGGGGGGGGGAGATACAATCACAGGTGTGGATTCAGAGATATTTTTTGACAGTCTTCCAAATTATCTTTGTTGATCCATCCTCCATTTTTGACTTCCAACATATAAAATCAGATACCCATCAATGTAAACTTGAAAATCTGACTGTCTTCCGGAAGACCTAGAAGACGGCCTCAATCCGCCCCTGTAATCACTCTGTATCCCAGATCCCTATTTTATATTTCCTTATACATATCCAAGAAGGTAAATAGAAATTGTGTAACTCTACTTATTCAGATAAAGCCACCAGCAGATAATGATTACAAAACTAAGACCTGTAACATCATGTCTGTGTGCTTAAAAGATTAGTGATGTAGCTCCTCGTTTTACATGAAAAAAATTGTGATGTGTTTGGGGATTTGTATGTATATGACTGGGTTCCCATGCCTAGATCGATCCATCTGGATCGCTATAACTCCCTGGGGAGTCTCACCAAATTGCTGTCAACATACCAGCTTAAATGTCTGTCACGCCTACCTAATCGGCTAGTGGGTAAAGATAATTACCCCCTAACAGTTTTACTAGGCGTGATAAACATTTAAGCCAGTTAAATTAATAGAAATTTAGTGAGACTCCCCAGGGAGTTAGACCGATTCAAATATATGTGGGAATGGTCCCTACATCTGCTTGTTTGTGTATAGAGAGAGAGAGAGAGGTAAAGATTTTACCCATGTACAGGCATGACTTCCCTATCCCCCACCCCACCTCAGCTTATCCCTAAACATACAGATTATGATTTCTGATCTCCAGGTTGTTATCCAATAACTGTGACATTGTCCATGGTTGTAGTGCTCTGTGAGAGCTGGCTGAATGGGAGCCAGTCCTATTTCCTGGTATCATCATGTGTTTGAGTGGCTACATGGGAGTGTTACCAGAGGTGGGGTGATGAAAAGGATAAGGGCGCTGCCCCCTGGTTTATTTTAAAAAATGGAAAAGAAAAAGTCTTTGTGTGTGTGTGTGTGTGTGTGTGAGAGAGAGAGAGAGAGAGAGAGAGAGAGAGAAAATTAAGTGAAATAGATGGAAGATTCCATGTAAAATTCATAATAGTGGAATTTATGAGGAAACAAATTGGTCTTTCACTCTAATCTTTTTTTATGGTGGGGGGACCAGTGTTTAACATAATTGATGGACAATGCAACATTAAGTGTATAATTGAAGGTATAACAAACAGAAAAAAAGGGTTTTGTGATTTAAACTATTTTATTTTGCTCAAATATTTCACTAAATTTTTAAAGTTATATTGTAATCTTTTTATATACTCTGAATTGATAAACTTTTAATACGTTTTCTGTGATTTTTCCCTCTTTTAACAGACAATTCACCTGTTTGGTGAGATTTGCAGATTTTGCTAAAAGTCTTATTTCATTTAAATATAAAGCTCTGTGTACATAAAATTACAAGCAGCAGATATGATTTTGCCTCAGTGAGATCTCTCGTGATGTGCTTATTCTTTGTACATAAAATCTTCTGTTACTAACTATAAGCTCAGAACCTGATATGATCTAACGGGCCTTCAGGCAAAACATAGTTATAAAAAGTTTTTAGTTCACTTTGACGGACTGTCCTGTTTTTGGTGCGCAATGAGTCATGTCAACTGCTGCTGCTTTTACACCCTTCACTCCCATTGGCTGATCACAAACACCATTCTTAAAGCTGAATTTCAGTCGACATTCTGCACTTTGCAGAAATTCCCAAAATGTATAAAATCCACAGTCACAGTGCAATGGGTTCCCAGCCAGATTGACTGCCACTTTGCTTGTAGATGATATCCCAAAGTCTTTTACAAACAACGTATTTACTGGCTGATAGAAAATATCCAGAGGAAGGTCGGTAAGATTGTTATGGGACAGGTCGAGGTCCTTGAGGTTGTCCATGAACTGTAACGCCTGTAACATTGGTGGAACAGTAAACGGTTTGCGATTGAAGCTGGATATTTCATTGTGGCTCAGGTTTAGAGTGGTCAGGCTTTGCTGGATGGAAATACCAACTTGCACAGCCGCCATCTTGTTGTAGGAAAGGTCTAGGAGTTGCAGGCGCTGGTTCCAGCTAAAAGGGAAACCGTTGACGTTGGTGCCAACTTGTGCAATCTGGTTGTGTGACAGGTCGAGTGATTTTAGGTTGATAAGGTGATCAAACACTGTGTCTTGTATCTGTGATATTTTACTNATTTTGTGTATGTGGGGGTCTATACGAATGCGCTTGCTCCAGCTGGTGGTACAATATTCGGAGGCGGTATCGCCTCTCTGATCCTCTAGTTATTATCTGGCATGACAGTGATATATGGAAGCCTTAGGATGTATGCACAAATTAACACACACACACACACACACTCTCTCTCTCACTCTCTTGAAAAGTCTACATAATATTTATATATGTTTTATGGAAAATAACTGATGACCTGAAGGCATGCTATGAGACAGCAACTTTTAACTGTAACAGTTTTTAGACACGCAGTCGAAACAGCTATATTGTTAGCTGTGTACAGTTATGCTTTGTTGTGATGGCAGTTAAGTTGTACCGAATGTATTCATTTTCCTGTAAGGAGTGTTGACCTGTTCCGGAAGGGCAACTTCTAATAATAGATTTTATATATATCTTTTAACTTTTTCTCTTCTTTTCAGTTTCTTTGTGCTCCTTGCACTTTTTTTATCAAACTAATTACAAGACAGAATTTTTGTTAAAAACTTTCCACCCAAAGTTTTTTCTTTTCTAAACAAATTCATCCTAGTCACTTGTCTGAACTTCTTGAACTATTCAACCTCTGAATACTCACTATTAGACTATATTGACTGAAACCTGGTTTCTCTTGTATAATTATTCCTCATGTACCAGCAATTCCTAGTCAGCGGGATCCTAAGCCCGTCTATACTCAAGTAGCACATCTCCTTACTTTAACCCCAATGTCTCTAACAGTTGGTAATGTTCTGCCTACCTAGTGCATGTTAAGCCAGTATAAAGATTGTTTCCTGTTTGGACTACCTGGCTGTGGTCAGCACAGCGCCCTCTTCACTTGTTTACAATACTCTACTCTGTCTTGACATTCAGTTCCGTTTGTTGTAATTGTTCTTGCTCTCTGTGATTAATAACCCAGTAAAGCAGTCAGCGCCAATATGAAAATTGACCTTCTACTCCTGTATGTTGATATTAGATAGTTGTTTAAAGAGCTTTATATAAGAAATATATTATTATAATTATTACAAAGTGAAAATCTAATGATTTTTGTGTACTACAGTGACAAAAAAATCCATCCCATTATGACGTTCTTACAAAAGCCTTTTTGGTGATGAAATAAGAAAGTATAAACTAAAGTAAAATACACTGCTTACCAGTTCAGTTGTTCAGCTCAGTCTGATAGAGCTAGATCCTGTAACGGTGATTCAGACACCAGAAATGTTGATTTAGAGAACCAATTTAATCCAAAATGTAAAAAAAAATATCAGATTGTCAAAGATAAACTAAAGTTGCTATGATAACAGTGCCGTGTGGTTAAAATAAGGTGATGTAAAAACAGAAGTAAAAAATTAAGGACAGAATAAGAATTCCCCTTGGTTTAATTGATCTGTTAGTATCAGGAAAGAGGTGTGTTCGTTTCCACGTTTGTTGATTGCAGAAAATGCCAGTCTGAAAAGAGATAACGATGTTAAAGTGACGGAAAATACTAATTAGCCAGGTTAATATCCTGATTTGAAGTGCTTGGTGTTAATGTACTTTCACAGAATATAGGTAGCAGTGGAGGCAGGTTAAAATCTTAATATTCTGCTAATTTATGTCTCAGGCTTGGTTGGGATGTGCCTGGAGAACCGTACAGCTTTTGTTAGAATTGCGCCAAGCTGTAGTGTAGAGTTCTTCTGATTTGTGTTGTTATTGATTAGTATTTGTATTAGCAAATAGTGATTCATTTTACAAATGTCTGCATGAGATAATGCAGCCCACTTACATAGTTTGGGACAACTTTTTCATTTCATTAATTTATTAATTTATTTTGGAATCAGTTTCTCTCAGACAAATATTATGAAATGTTATTTTTTACTTGTTATTTGTTGTTTGTTTGTTTGTTTGTTTGTTTGTTTGTTTGTTTTCCATGACAAGGCCAGCTGGGCCTCTGATATCAAGTATAAGGATCCATCAGAGAATTTCATCATATATGAAATATTCACTTTCCTGATATCTTCCTTTAAAATTTAAAATGAATAGATGGTTTGTTTCAGAAGACATTTAAATCTTCATGATGTCTACAAGGAAGTAATTACACTGCTATAAAAAAGATACAGGTCCATTTATGATTTGCCACAAGGAATTTTTTTTTTTTTAGGAGATAGTACCTGGAGAAGGATGTGCCGGGGGGGGGGG